TCTGACTTGCATTTTAATCACTCAGACTATAACCTCCAGTGCTCCACTCCCTTGCCACAACACCTGGAGGTTCCACATACAGGACCTTACCCATGAGTCTCCTGGGTCCACAGCAGGAAACAGTTTGTGTGTTAAGGTAGATTTTGGTGGTGTTACTACAGCCCAAACTAGCCTATCAGTCAGGAAGGAGGGGCTGCACTCTGCAGCTCAGTGCCTCAACCCCACCCCCACCCCCCACCCCCACACTGGGCACTCCTAGGTCAGGATTCCTGGTCTTTGAAACCCTGTGAACCAGCAGTGTAACAGAGATGCAGACTGCAAGCTCTGCAGTCAGAGCCTGGGTTGGACTCACATTTCACTTCAGAGGTAAGGACTGAGGCACATTACTTATATTTTCTAGGCCTGAGCTTCTTAATTTGTAAAGGAGCAATAAAATAAGAATGGTACCTCACACAACTTGTTAGAAAGATAACATGTTAGCATTAATGTATGCAAACCACTTAGGGTAGCCTATAGCTGGTAAATTAGTAACTTGTTAGAGCTACTAGCTACTATCAGTATAATCACTATAATGTCTTCTCTGGAAAAGTATGTTGACTCAAGGCCAGCTTGAACTACATAGTGAAACAGTCTCAAAAAACCAACAAAATGAAATGTAAAACTCAAATGATGTTGAATCAGGAAAAATTAGTGTTTAATAATGAAAAATTTTTTATTACTTATTTAGTTTTACCATCCAAAAATGGACAGTCAAAGCCATCTCTCCTGCAACTGTTTTATAAAAAATACCAGACCTGTTTCCCTCTACTATTCTTTGGAGTAATTCATAATCCTGCTTCCATTCCTGCCACTGTGTGGAATGATTGAGCAGCTGGGGCAGTACAACAGAGTGGACGCATGTAGAAAGCAACACCGCTGCAAGGAAGGCACAGTACAGAGATCCCCAAGATCACTTCCCTAAACTTCGAAGTTCTCAGATCCAATGGGTAACAGAGGTCAAATACAGAATGCAGACACTGTTCAGCAGTCATAATCAGCGCTGGATAAAGGTTCTCACTGAATAACTGAAATATTTTTACTGAGACCTCAGGGTAAGCAGAGGTTTTCTCCATGTTGTATTCCAAGGTTCACTGTGAAGTCTCATCTTGACTGCCTCAGTATGTCTTGCCTCTCTACTTAAAAAGACATTCTTGCAAGATACAGCAACCATGTTTAACCTTTCAATTTATTTCCTTCAGAAAGGTTGACTCAAGAGCTAGTGATGTAGCTCAGGGGCACAGCGCCTGCCTGGCAAGCGCGAGGTCCTGAGTTTGATCCCTGGTACAAAAAAAAAAGGTTCACTCTGAATAAATTTTTTTAAAAAAATTTTTTGGGTACCGGAGCTCAAACTCAACCTTGTGCTTGTGAAGCAGGTGCTGGAACCACTGAGCTAAATCCCTGGCCCATGAATAAATTCTTAATGATAGCCAGGCTTAGTGGTGCATGCCTGTAGTCCCAGCACTCGGGAGGCAGAGGCAGTCGGATTACTGTGAGTTTGAAGCCAGCCTGAATTTTGTAGTGAGACCCTGTCTCAAAAAAAAAAAAATTCTTAATGATACAATTGAGTGCTGGTTCTGAGCCTCAGCCTTACACCCATTACTATCTGTGTGACAGTGAGCAAAGTATTCAACCTTTGTGTATCGTGGTTTCATCCATGAATTGATGGGTTACAAGGAATATAATAGTTAACAGATATAAAGTGCTTGCTACCGCGCCTGACAACATCCACGGTAAACAGAGTCAGTTCTTCTTAGCTGTTAAAAACAGCTATGTCATTGCCCATAGTTGATAAAATACATAAAATTCAAAAGTAAAGTAAGCTAGTAGTTATCATAAGAAAACAAAGGAAAGCACATCCTTGGTCCCCAAAACTCTGCTGTCTGTGAACACAGTATATGAAACACTTCACTGCCTAAATAAGTAGCAAATATGTACTAACTGTACATGGTAACCCACCAGAATGGTTCATACCTTCAAGACTTCATTGGAGAGAGAGGAGATGGAGGGGAGGAAAACAGGAATTAAGATGTGTTATGTACATATACCAACTCCACACAAGGGATGTAAACATGTACTGCAAACATGTACTAATAAAAAAAATATGGCAACTCTGGGAATCACTGTTACATGAGTATATGATAGCAGGCAGTGGTGTAGACAACAGTGCTTTGGTGTTGTTTTAACCATTTCTTTAGAGAGTGGCAAGTTATTCTCTATGCTGTCTGTTTAGCTCAATCAGTTATAATTTTTGTAAGTGAATCTGGGATTAAAATTTATTTAAACCCAGAGGACAGAGAAACTTATGCAACAGTTCTGTTAGCTTCCCACCTCTGTGACAAAATACCTGAGGTAATCAACTTATGAGGAGGAAAGGCTCATGGCTTCAGAGGTTCTAGTCCATGGTTGATTAGCCCTGTTGCTTCTGGGCCTGTGGTGGCACAGTGCATCATCGGAGTATGGGGCAGAGTCCTGTTCACCTCAGCAACCAGGAAACAAAGAGGAAAGGGCCAGGTCCCCAGTCTCTCATTCAAAGGCAACCGTCAGTGATATAACTTCTATTTACTAGGCTTCACCTTCAAAACCTTCCATCACCTCCCATAGTGCCAGTGACCAGGCCTTTTAACAGATGGGCCTTTGGGAGACATTCAAGATTCAAACCATGGCAGCCAGTATTACTGAAGTAACAGGAAACCAAGGTGTGAATAGGAAGAAGTGATAAAGCTAAATGATCCAGACACGGGTTACTGTTCAGAAAGAAGACCATTATACTGGCTAGATCAGTACTTCTTAACCATCTGAATCCAGATCATTGAGTGCTCACTGACAGTGTAGATTCCTAAGTGCAATTCTAGACCTAGTGGGTTAGACTGGTGTGTGCTTAAGGAATATTATTTAACTAGCTCTCCAAATGTTTTACATGGACTCCAGAATTGGAGAACTACTTGCTGAATTTAAAATATCAACTAATGACTGAGAAATTTCAGAATGCTTTCAAGGAAGTTTGGGGAATTAAAAAATGACTGAGTTGATGCAGTAGCTCTGCATAATACTCATGTTTTAAAATTATGGATGCCCAAATCCTCTATGGACTAGCATTTTGTTTATGGGGCTAAGTCTTTTATAAAGGAGGAAATGCCAGTGTCTAGTCATACAACATTTTCATAGAATGTCAAAAGCAGGGTGAATTTTTAGTCTTTCATTGTTAGGAGCCAAAAAAAAAAAAAGCCTTTGAGTATCAATAACTAGATGAACAAAGTCCATACCATTCAAGATGAACTTTCAGGACCCCAGTTCAGAGCATGTTGCTTACTATTTTGACAAGTTTAATTATGTGATTTCCGAGGTTAGAATCACGAAGACAAAAAAAATTTATAGATAAGTTTATAGACAGTAACAAGAAATGATAGCACAAAGCAAAGGGTACAGAAAACTTATTTAAAAGGAAGAAGAACCTTAAAAGGGTACTGATGTTAAAACCATTTGCAATAGAAGTACTCCTTTATCTCAGTGTGTCCTTAAGGGTCTCACTAAATTACAGATCAGTAATTTGTTAGTATAAATGGTAAATCTTGAAATATACTGGGAGCAAAGTTTGTGATTTGCAATATCCTCTAGAAATATTTTAATTTTTTAAAGTAAAAATTAAACTTCATAGTTTTCAAGAAGTATGTTCTCAGCTATATGGAAAACATGGATGATTAAAATGTTTTATTTTTGGTGTTTCCAGATGCCCAAGGTTTTACTGCAGTGGGGAATCAATTTTCCTTCAAAATGTGCCTTTTCCTACAGCAACACAAATGACTGAAATTTCAGTAATGAGTGTTTTTTTTGTCACCAAGTCTTCAGTGACAAATACACATATCTAGAGGTAGAGACTATATATATATTTACCAGAATGAAGGAAATTTGGTGATAAGAGCCACAGAAAACTAGAAGACACATTGAAAATGTCATACATGCCTTTTCATCTCATGTGAACAGTTTCCATGGGAACACATGCTCAGGTCTAGGAGCATATGCTGAGCCAAATGTTGTATGGCTGCTTAAGATTGGAGCATGGCACGGAGGTAGGTAAGGTGTCCGGACTAAAAGGGCAACTTTCCTGTTACTGCAAAAGGGGACAGTCTCCTAATTCTTTCAAATGAATGATTTGTGATTTGACTCCCAATAAGAAAACCCATTAAGAGCTAAATATTGATGGTTGTCCCTCCACCCTCTTAAGTCCTGATACTGGAATTTTTTTTTTTTTTTTGAGAATGTGGCACAGGAAAAAGCTTTGGACAGCCTGTTGGGCAGCTGGGTGACTCGAGACACTTGGCTCAGATCTACAGCAACTTGTCTTACCTCTCTACCCAGATGTGATGTGAGCCAGCTCACCACAGGCAGCTGAGTCTAGGGGATGATTTACTTTACCCTTTAGAGAAAATAGGACATCCGTGCTGCTTTGTAAAAAAATTTGAAAATGTTTTTATTCAGATTCCCCATCTGTAAGATTCTGAGAGAAGAAGCCAATTCAGCTTCCTGGGAACTGCATGCTGGGTGCCAGGCACTGGAACAGAGGGCAGATAGGGCATTATGTCTGCCCAGAATTTCCAGAACAGATCAAGGAGGCTTGGCGGCTCTTAAGAGATGTGCGTTTGGGCTAGGTATTTAGCTCAGGGGCATGAAAGTGCAAGAGTGCAAGGTCCTGAGTTTGATCCCTAATACCAAAAAAGAGGGGAGAGGGGGAGAGGGGGAGGGGGGAGGGGGGAGAGAGAGAGAGGGTGGTTTGAGCTGGAGGGAACTTGGCCAGGCAGCACACTGTGGCAGAGGTGAAGTGAGATGTTTAAACCCCTTCCTTAAATAACAGTCTGTCATACAAACACTTGTCTTCTAGTCTGAATATCCCAAATCAGTGACCCCCCCCCCCATAAATTTCATTAGAATTCATTGTAGGTCAAAAAGGAAACACATACACAAAATATGTTTTAACCTGAAATAATTCTGTTGATATTTGAGTTGCTTTCAGTGGGACATTTGCATTAAACCACAAGATATCTCCATCTTCAAGTACAAAATCCCTTTTCCCCACCCACCCCCCAGCCAAACAAACAAGGAAACCCAAAACCCACAACTCAGCTTCAAATAAGTTTGGAAGAAATGAAGCTCTAAATATTTACATAAGGGGCAAGAAATGAATCACAAAACTATTTACAAAAATACACAAGCTTATATGCATTAACAATTTACACAAGTTCACAAAAATATTAAAACATTAAAAAACACTATATAAATTAAAGAACTCAGAAGTATGATCTAGGACTTTCTAGGATGCTTCTCTCATGCAGGTCATGGTTGAAAAATCAGGTTTTGCTATCTCAGAATCTAAACTGTAAAACAACCATTTTTATTCTTGGACATTAACAGTACTAATCAGATAAGGAAAAAAAGACCCTCTGTGCACACCAACATATCATCTTGCACACATTAAAATGTATCATTCCCAACATTTCTGTAACACACAATACTGACAATCACATGCCTCTAACCATTTGAAAGTAACTTCCTGACATACTTAGCTTTCATTATTCCCTTGCACCCTCTGCTCAGGCGATACTCTGTCAACATTCTGAGTGGGTGATCAATAGGACTGGAACAGAGAAATGGACTTTACATGCTCCTTCTTGAACTAAAGGAGCAAATCTTAAATTTATGTCATATACATTACTAATTCAAATATGACAACCCACTCTTCTACCCCCACTCACATTCACAGTCCCTCCTCTTTACAGAATTAGTCCTAGAATTTTTCAACCTGACCTTAAATTTTAAAAAATGCTTTGCCATTGTAAGAAATGTGTGGGCCCTACCCTTGGGACCATCCCAGGGACTTCTTCAAACTAAGCATTTAAAACATGTGAATGGATATTTAAAAGGAAATCGAATACACTAAGAAATAAGGCTCAGAATAAATTTATTAATAAGATAATGGTACCCCTGGGGCTTTTAGCAAAGTTCTTAGCTAGAAATCCAGGAAATATTTATTTCCATCAAACCAAACTGTGGAATCAGAATTTTGCCAAAAAGATGAAACCTGGAGACAAGGCTGTGAAAGTATCAATAGAATTGAATTATGGGTTAATGCGTAAGGCAGCTCCATTTCCTTGATCACGATGCTCCATGTCAACATCTGAAAGTAACAACATTCAATTCTGCATTTGTGAAGCCACACACAGGGTGGCCAATGCTGAGGTAACCTGGCTCACAGTGATCTAGCATCCAATTTCTACCCCCACAGTATTAGAAAGGGAAAGATGGGGACAAAGTCTTTTAAATAGCTGAATCCAAAGTTAAGGCTGTTGCTACATATGTTAACTCTAGACTTTATCTAAAGTCTGTTTCACACTTACACCAGTAATTTGAATCATCATTCTATACTCAAAATATTTACCTACTTCCAAGCCCATAGGACATTAATAAAGAAATTGTTCTGAGGAATCAACTTTAGCATTTATAAAACAGACTTAGTTCCAGGAGTAAACAATGTGTGACACCAAATCCACCAATATTAAAACTGGCCTGGACTTCTTTTGTTGCTTTGTTCTGGGTCCTCAGTTACTGAAGCCATGTCATGCCAGCCCCTCTTCCTAACCTCTGCTGCTGGTAACAATTTCAGGGCTGGTATGGTCCCCAAGGGGCAATGGGTTGCCTACTTGATAAAAAGATGATTAAGGTTTTTTTTTTTTTTTTTTAAAAAGTAGTGCTGCATATTCACTAGAGCTCAATTTCTATACGTAGCACCCCCAGTGTGTGTGTGAGTGTGTGTGTGTGTGTGTGTGTGTGTGTGTGTGTGTGCTGGATGAAGTAACCTATTGGGTTCCTCAAGTTTTGACCTCATCAGTTTAGTCTGCACTTTTAACACTGAGGCCTAAACTTCCAGACTTTTCCATAAATTGGTGTTTTAAGATTTCTACTCTGGTCTTTGTTGCATTCCTCTGATCAATTCTTGGGAACAAAAGAAAATCTTATATAGAGTATTTTCATATATAAATTTGTCTTTAAAACTTTTTCTAAATATAAATCCTTAAAAAGCAATCACATGACTTTTTTAAATTAAAAAAATGACTGGCATGGATCCTATTCTTTATACAAATTCACAGCAATAATAGCAGCATTTTAGCCTCTTAAAAGATAATTCCAAGTTCTAAAAAGCCAGAGCAGCAACCATTCAGTAAATGGAATGAACTGTTTTCTACAACTGAGCATTTAAAATATGTAAATGTATAAAACTCAAGTATTATTACAAGTTATGGAATGAAACGACAATCTCACTTTGTAAATACAGGACTGCCTTTCTAGTCTGGTGTTTCTGTGGTGGGATGAGCTGAGGAAACATAATAGAGTTGGGTTAGAGAGATGTCCTGTTCCTACTCTTCTAAGGAATGCAACTTTCAAAAGAAAGTCCTGGGTATTAAACATGTTTAACATGTCTACAGAGTTATAAAGAGCTATACCTGAATGCTGGTGTCAGTGACAATTACACTAAGACTGTGATCACAATAGTATGGAGGAAGCAAACACTGCACGACTCCTTAGGACGTAAATAGTAGCTGTACAGAACTCCAACTGGAGAGATGGGGCTGTGTACACTAAATCACAACTACTTTAATAATTTCAGGGAACCTGTACTCTAGTTTAGAAACAAATTAACATGTAAATCTGTATTCATGAGAAATTGTTTATCCAGTCAAATCAGGCAAGGCTTTTAATGAGAAAATGTTGCTAATTTAGGAAAATAGACTGTGTTTTACTGGAAGTACAATTTACTAAGTATTATTAGTGGGAAAAATCTGCAGACAGGCAACACATTAACAGCATTTATACTGTTTTCTGGAGTTAACCAGGTTTGCTGACAATAGAATTTCACTTTCACTTACCTAATAAATTTCCTTAAACTTTAACTAAGAAAACAAAACAAAAAATCCCAAAAAACCCTCTGCAGTGCTATGAGTTCACTTACCTGTGAAGACCAAGTATAGAAATAATGTAGAGTATGGTTTGGCCTGAGTCTAAATGGTCTGATATTTCATAACTCTGTATTTATTAGGAAATGCTTAAAATCTTAGTTCTTTTACTTTTTAATTACAATGCTGCTAATTATCCGAGTGACTTATTTGAAGAATCAGGGAGTTTTTCTCCACCCTAACTTAATCTGCAAGTCCCTTATTGGACAATGAAGTGATGTTCTCAGTCTCCAACTGGGCAAGCTGTACACCCACTGGTAGGGAAGCAGGGACACAAACGCAAAAAAAAGCCCACCAGGAAAGACATGTAAACTGCTCTGAACTAGGTAGCACGTGCTAAGAAAAGACAAAGTTAAATTCAAATTCAGTTAAAGGCAGTCCTCAGGCTCTTACAGATCAGCTCTATATGGCAAGTACAGTCTGTGACAAGTTTCTTTACTAGGTTTCCAACACAGTGCTTTACAACCATTCAGATCTCTCTTAAAGACAAAAATGACAGCCTATAGATGGAAGGATGGTAATGAAGCAGGGAAGGGGAAAAGATGGTGATTTGCTTACTTTTATTACATTTGTTTCTTAAATGTGGTTGGAGATTTTGTACCTTTTTTTTCTTTTTAATCTTTTTTGTTACTGAAAAAAATAGAACAGTCCACTGTCCAGCAGAGGCTGCTTCAACTCTATTGCTCCCGGGGCTCATTCTGCATGGATCTGTGTGTCAGGGTGCTGCAAAGACAACTCTGTGGGCAGAAAGGCCCCCTGACCCAGTGCTGTGGCATATGTCCTGCTCTGTGGGTGGGCAAAGCCAGAGGGCATATATGTCCCCATGCCTGCCCCTCCGAAGCCGCCTCGCTGGTGCTGGGGCAGGGAGTGGTAATCCTCCAGGTTATCATACTGGGACACAACAGTCATATTGCTGTGGCGCTTGCCATGTGTTTGGTACTGGTATAGCACGCTTGGATCCCTGTCCAGGTTCTGGGTATGGTGCAGCTTTAGGCTATGACTCCTCTCTGGCTTAGGGGGTGGGACTGCTGACTGGGTGAAGTGCTCCTCCTCCTTGTAGCAGTTTCTGGAGTGTTTGTCAGGGGCAGGTAGCTGTCTGGCTCGAGGGTGCTCCAGCTCTTTGGAGAGCCTTACCTCTCTGTGATTTAGTCTTAAAGACTCCTGCCCTGATGGGGCATATTTTCCTCCAGAGTTATGGTAGCTGCCTGGCTCAGGAGTGTCTGGAATCCCTTTGGGCCCATAATCTAACTGGCCAGCTGCTTGGGCATAAGGTGGCCCATTTTTTGATTCACACAACTGCCTATGGCTTGCTTCCTGATGTGCCCTGTGCTCTGGGAGACTACAACCCATGTCATGGAGCTTCCTGTTCCTAAGGCTGCTCTGCTTCTGAGGGAGGGATGGCTTCTCTGCCTGTGCACTGCTGTAGCCTCCATGGTGGAGGACTCTATCAAATTCCTGCTCTGTGTGCTTCCTATAGAAGCGGTCATCTCCCTCAGGACTGACAGCCTTGGTTGAGTGTCGCCCCTCCTTTCCCTCTGCCACTGAGAGAAGTCCAGTTTTCCCAGGATCAGATTTGCTGCGTAGATGGATGACATAGATCCCCCCCAAGTCATCCTGCATGGCTGGAGTCATGTTATCATACTGAGACATGACAGGGTCCTTCACCTTCTGCCGTGCACGGCTTTCTCTCCGGATGGACTGCATGTGGTATTTCTCCATGTCCTCGAAGTCCCAAGAGGTGCCGGTGTGCTTTACATCAGCAGGTGGAGGCATGTTGACTACACTATGGTCATTACCAGAGAAATAGCCAGTGCCACTGGCACGGGGACGCGGAGGCAAACCAGGGTAACTGTACAAGTTCTTGCCTTGCAGCCTAGGATTATAGAGAGCAAAATCTCGACTTGGCAGGCGGTGAAAGGGCCTCAACTGCACTGTGCTATAGGCATCCACATCACACAGGGCTCCATTAGGACTGTAATAGGAACTGGAGGAACTGGAATAAGGGCTGTAGCGGTAATGTACCCGTCCATTCTCAAAGTAAGGCTGAAGCTGAGTTACATGGTAATCTGAGCGGGCCTGGGAGGACTGATATGGCTTATACTGGTACAGGGGTCTTGGGCAGTAGGTTGCTTCATCATCGGGGGGAACTTCTGTCCGAGAAATGGGGACAGAGCGGATCATGGATGATGGGGGTGCATGAAGGGACTGCACCCTCCGGATGGTAGGGTATGGTGGAACATCCTCGGGGTAACAAGCACTCCTAACAGAGGAGGTCAGAGAAGAAACATACTCAATCCGGCTGCATGGCTTGGAGTGATGTCCAGATGTATTTCTTCCTGGAGCCACATAGGTGTTATAACGGGGACCCATGGAGGCTGGTGGCTCTGATCGGGCACCATACACTTGGTGTTGCTCCAACTTATTATGATGTGGAGGTACACTCTGGGGACGGAACTGGCAGTTTGGAGTCATACTGAAATGCAAACAATTTTCTGGGCCAAAGGGCTCAGTGGCAACCTCGGACCTGACAAAAGAGGAGTAAGCTATTCTCTGAGAAGCATGCTTGGGTTGAGGGACAGAAAGTGGTAAAGGCAACACATCATCCACTGAGGCTGATGAAGCAGCAACACAGGAGTGGTAGTTGGAACTGCTGGTGGCATCTGCACTGCTGGAGTGTAAGGCAGCAGCGATCTTACTCTCCATGGCCCTGGTAGGGGGCACTGGTGCCCCGAAACCACAGGAGTGCCCAGGGAAAGACTCAGCACGCAGGTGAAGTAGCGGGGCCCTGGTGCCTTCTTGAACCTTCTCAGGTAGGCCTGGCTGGAGAGCAGCAGCAGCCATGGGACACTGGGCAGTTGCACTGCCATCACTGACAAAGATGGGCACAGGGTCATCCATGGCTCGAGGCTCAGGTGGCCTCTCTGGAGCTGGAACTGATCCTTGAACCTATTGAAAAAAGACAATGTTATGAGTCCATTTTTCATGACCCTCCAAGGAATCAAATGCTATTACATTTTTAACTTGCAGCTGAGGCTATTTGGGTGGCAGTTTGAAATCTCCACTGCCGCTGCCAGGAAAGGATGGCCTATGCTATTTGGCATATCACATCTCGAGAACTCTTCAGAGTTTCTAATTCATTATATATTTGAAATGTGACACAAGATTGCCTATGGCATTGTCTTTTATGTGCAGGCTCAAATAAAAGTTTAGTCAAGTAACACTGTAAAGCTTAAAAACAAATGCCCAGCTTATCAATCTAGCTTAGCCTCAATACCAAGAACATTTTATTTAAAGAAAACAGTTGACTCTGTCATCTGGAGGATTTTTATGTGACTTACAATTGTATACAGTGAGCAGTTTTAAACACCCCAATACAAGGAAGGGCAATAAGGTGACACTCAATTCAGAGGTTATCGTCTTCCACCACTTTTTTTAACTCCATTCCGTCTGTGGATTTACAGGCCAAATATAATTCTCACAGCAAGACTACAAAGATGCCATCCCTGAGAAGTAACTGCTAGAAATAGCATCTTCCAAGAAGAACTAGAAATTTAAGTCCTTTTAGTTTAAGGTGATCACAAAAAAACCTGTGGCATTTTTTTAAAAATCAGAAAACTAGGAAAAAAACCTTAGGTCTGTATAAAAAATTCTCTCATCAAAACAAGGACTTGGCTATGGAACAATCGGCTGGTTAGTTAAAAAATAACACAAATCCTATTGCACTGTAATGTCTTACACTTTTACGAAGCCTGTAAGGCAGACTCTTACAAATGTCTTAACGATGAGGTTTTTTCATTGTGCAGATATGAATAATTGTCAGAGGGTGGTAAAACGACTTGCCCAAAGTCACAGTTAGTCAGTGATGGAAGTGGAAAAGAAAAGAAACAGAAGGAAGAGAAGAGAAGGGAAGGGAAAGGAAGAGACAAACAACCCTTATACCTGACAGCTAAAGCCCAGCTGGTCTCATGCAATCAAGATCTCTGCATTACATTACTCTGAAGAAAAGACCTAAATCAGTGATGGTGAACCTTTTAGAGACCGAGTGTCCAAACTGCAACCCCAAACCTACTTATCAAAAGGTGCCAACACTGCAATTAAACCTGAATACTGAGGTTTTAGTTTAGAAAAACAGCTCATACATTAACATCTTTTGTCTTAAAAGAAAAACAAATAACACATGTTCCATAGGTTCGCCACCATTGACCTAGATGCTTACAGAAGAAGAAACTCATTGTCAATTAACTGCTTCTTCTTCTTCAGAGAAAAACTAGCAGCCAGGCAGACTCCAACCTCAAATGGGAACTATTTAATGGAAACCTGCCACAGGATTTAAAAAATAATGTTGCATCTGACTCACAGATAAGAACACACCCTGCTGAAAAATGACATACCTTTGAAAAAAGCATATTTCACCTTATTGAGTTCCTTTCCTTCTTACCTTGTGGGAATTATTTACTCCTATACTGGTTGGTGCTTGTACCTGCCCCATGACTGGTGGCTGCTCTGCTGGCCTCTGGGAAGGAGGTGCAGGGAGGGGACGATTTCTGTGGGGGCGCTGGAGGGTGGCAGCAGCAAAGTCAGTAGCAACATAGTCAGCAGCAGCAGACTGTTCAGCCATCACCCAGCTGGTGTCCTTGGCTCTTGTTTCGGCTGCCGCAGTTGCTATCATGTAAGCCATGGTAGCTGTGCTGGCATTCTCTTCAGGGGACCCAGAAGGCAGGTAGACTTTGTCCCTTGGCAAACTCGCAGGCATGGGAGATTCGCCTGGGAGTTCTGAAGGGTGATGGGGCTTATCCACACTTGAACCAAGGTAGGAGGGAAGCTGATGCTCACTGTAGAAGTGGAGCACAGACTGGTCCTGCTCTGCAAAGGAAACACTCAACACACTGGGCTTCCCAGCCTGGTCTTCAGGGAAACATCCATGATCATCAGACTTCTCTGAGTCAGTTAAGGGAGCTGACGCAATTCTAGCCTTTTCTGGGTCCCCAGGTAAACAGTTTGGAAGTGACTGATTCCCTGGTAAATCTACTTGATGGAGGTGCTCCCCAGATTCTGTGTGGGAATGGGGGGGATCCCCAATAGCTGCTGTCTCTGCGAGAGGCTGGTCACTGTTCCCAGGTGTGCTATTCTGGAGGTGGAACTGCTCTGCTGGTCGATCCGTCTGGAAATAGGCCTTATCTATTGCAACACTAGAGTAGGGACTGGGCAGTTTATCTTCAGCGGTGGCCACTATGTCTCCATAATTTGTATACCCAGCCTGGGAAGCCCCTGGTTTCTTCAATGTCTGGGTTGAGGCTTGCTGTGCAGACTCAGCTAACGCTAGTGCCAACATTCGAGCGACATTTTTCGGAGGCGGAGGTGGTGGGATAAGAGAGACTGAACTGACAGGAACGGGATCCTGAGGGGGGTCATGGGTAACTGCTCCTAGTGGGAAATTGGGAAAAAGAATGAGAATGAAAAGGTAGCTTACATTATCCTATACGGAAAGTCAAACACTCCCCATCTGATCATTAAAAAATAGATGCCTTCCATATTTCAAAATGGCAATCCATGATCTTCTATCCCACATGCAAATGCTGTTGAAAATACATATCTGGTTCAGAAGGAAAACTAAAATAGTGGTTTGGTTGCAAGCTCCTCTTGAATTGATACAGAAGGAGCAGGGGAGCAGGTTCCTCACCTGACTCAAAAAAGACTGCTTAGAACACAAGCTTTGAGTGCTTGCAAACTGTTATTAAGTATAGTTTTTACATAGGATGGTGTAGGCTGGCTTGTTAACTTGTAAGGCTAGCATAACGGTATTTATTAGAAGAGAAAACAGAATCAAGAGCTATGAAGTTGTGTACAAGTTATCCACAAATTCTGACTGTCCAAAGTGGTAAGGGGACTTTTGTGAAGGTCTGAAGTAGGACCATGGGCCCTTTGGGGAGTTTTGTTTGATTGATTTTAATTTAGGGCTTTGAGCCATCAGCAGTACTCAAGAAAGCATTCTCTTTGATTAAAGACTAGCTGTGGTGCAAATTTCTCTGTTAGAAGGCACAGATGGCACATAGGATTGAAGATCCCTCTTAACTTAAAGAAAGAAGGGAGGAAAACAAACGGTACCTGTCTGAGTCTGTCCAGAAGCTACAGCCTTACTCTGACTGCTTGGGACAGACCGATCCTCTTTCCCTGGCAATTCTACTTCTTCAGCAGCCACCTGGTCCAGGGGCTGGATTTCAGGTTCACATCCTTCTTGGGCCTCTCTCTCATTTGCTTTCATCTTTACTATCTGGGTGGGGGTTCTATTTGTGACATCACTGTCTTCCATGCTTTTGTCCCAAGTTGGAGACGATGCATTCTGAGCTGCAGTATTTGAGATGGTACCAATGACTTCTGACACCCGAGGTGGAAGGGTCACTGAAATTGGCTCTGATATGTTCATGGAAGGTGATTTAGTTAACTTCCGTCCAATCTTTGGAGAGAGAGCATAGACGACCTTTTCAGTAAATGAGGATGGCTTAGATGATTTCTCTTCAGGTGGGCTCAAGTCCAGGGTAAAGAATGGACTCAGTTTCTCCTGAACTGGAGAAACTGGTTCAGAGCTTGTAGTGCTTCCTGGAGTCTGCGACTGACTACCACCTGTTTCTATATCCTTTGTATTGGCACATGGTTTATCCTTTGAGTATCCTAATGAATCTAAAAAGGAAACACCACTCTCCAGACATTCTGACTCAGCCTTAGGAGGACTACATTGAAAGGACATTGGATCAAAATCCAGGCTGGCCACTCCAATGTCTGGTGGGCTCAAATCAACGTCCTCAGCGGAAGGAGGAGACATTAGAGCTGGAATGTGCAGAAGCCCTACTTCCTCCTCACTCTCATTGTCATGGGGCAAATTATCATAGGAATTACAGCGGTTCCCCAGCATTTCTCCATTAAAAGAGGCAGACAGGGCATCACTGCTAGACCGGGGTCTTCTAGGCCGGAAGAGCTTGGAATCACCTAGTAAAAATGGACAGCAATGTCAAAGAATGAATGTCACCAAATATACAATGCTGTGATAAGTCACCTACTTAGTACAGCAGTAACTTTCCATTTAGGATAGGAAAGCAGAACTGTTCATTCTCTTTTTGTCAACTGCCTCTGGGTGCAGAGGGATCCTTTGCACTTACAGTAACAGAACCCCTGAGTCAACTGCTATATGATAATCAGAGGGAGAATGCACCCTTTCAAGATCTAAATAAGAAAAAAAACTTCAGGACTCTTGAGATTCTATTACTGGTCCAACACTGACTTCTGGTGTGACTTTGGGTAAGTTTTTTCATTTCTTTGGGTCGTATTATATTAGTGGCCTCACATATGATTTGTGAAGCAGAACTAATCAATCACTTCAAATAGCACCTTGGATATTCAACAACAAAAAAGATTGTTTATTGCAGGTAAATATTCTTATAGTACCCACATTTCTTAAAAAAGAATTTCTCAATTAAAAATATTTGCATATATGTAGTAAAGGATTGCACTTATTTCTTTAATAAGAGGAGCCTTTCAGTTTCTTAAACAGAGCCCTAAAGAGTGATAGACAGTATTACACGATTTTATGTCCAAATGATAAAAAACAAAACAAAACACCTCTATTCTATGAGAATTACTATAACTGCCACAGTGAAAACATACTTGGCTCACTATACTGTTTCGGTAGATTATCTTAACTGTAGTTTAAATGAAAATCTCTTGGAAAACTCCTAAACTGTCAGGAAGTCAAACAGAACTGCTCTGTATCACAAGCAAAACCACTGGTCAATGGGAATCTGCAGTTTGAAGAACTAATAATAAACAAAGATGAGAAAATTGACCAGAATCACGACACCTCAGTATACTTCAAAAGAGCATGATTAGATTTAAAAATCCAATGGATTTAAAAAAGCCTTTGGGGAAAAAAATTTGGTGTAGCTCTTGAACACTTTTGCAAAAAGAGCCTTCTTTATAATCTGCTGCCCAAACGAAACACCAAATGATGGACGGGTGCTCTATTGTGTTCTTACATGGTTTTGTCCAAAAAAATTATACCTTCTCCCAAATCAACATGGAAGCAATTATTTATTCTAAGAATTACTACATAGGTAGTTGCAACTGTAATTTACTTTTACTAAACAGAACAAACATCTATTTTCGTATTTTAGTTTTGTTTTCCAACTTATGTTGCAACCAAACCTTTTCCACTATTTACCATGAGACTTTGGTCCCAATTTTAAGCAGATTCACTTTAAGTTGCCTTCTCCAGGTGCTAATTATTCTTGGATAATGAAGACCACCTGTAATCAGTCTGACCTATGAAATTTAAGGTCAGGTTAAACCATTTTGCAAGAGAACAGACAGTCATGAAAGCTGTTTACTTTTATACTTTGAAACAAATATCCTTTCATTGTGAAATCTAATGAAGGGGACAGTTTTACTAGGCATTAACAAATATAAGTGGTTGATTTAAAACATTTTGGCCATTTTTATGTAAATAAATAGGAATCATGCCAAAATACTGCTACCACATTAAAACTTCACTGAATTTTACTCTGAACAATTAAATACATATTTGTATTCTTAGAAATGCTGATGAATAGCTTATTATTTAAGCATATTATTTATTAAGTACATTTAGTTACTGTGTTCATATCCTTTATGCCTCCATCATGGAATAAAACAATTTATGCTTTCAGTCTCACCATCAACTGCATGGAGAGAAGTAAGAGACTCCTCACTTTTAGCTGAGCGTAGGGTTCCTTCTGCCCTGCCACCTGAAGAACCAAGAACAAGAGTGTAGAGTTTTATTATTGCTGCATTAGTATACAGTTAAAGGGATCAATGCTTTTCCTAACACATGCTTAAACTCCCAAGAGTAATTAGCTGCATATTTTGACATTTTCAATTTACCACCCTATTATGTAAAGCTGTTGCACTGTCCTCAAATAGTTTCTCATTTGAAAAATCTCTTTTCTAAAGGATCATGAACTTGAACAGAGATGAACTAGAAGACTTTTTTCTTGTTTATTTCCAAAAGACTAATATGTATCCTTTGTGTGTGTGTGTGACAGGGTCTCACTATGTAGTTCAGGCTGGCCTTGGGATTCACTATGTAGCACAAGCTGGCCTCCAACTGGTAACAACCCTCCTCCCTCAGCCTCATGAATGCTGGGATTATACATGTGTACCACCATGCCCAGCCTGCACATGTACCCTGAGATGATATCACACTGCATTTACAGTGGGCCCATCATCCATGATTGGTATCTATAAAAGAAGAAAAGACACAGAGACACACAGAGAAGGACTCATGAAATGGAAGCAGAGCGTGGGTGATATTGCCTCAAGTGAAGAAAAGCCAGGAGCTGCCAGGGGTGGGACAGACAAGGAAGGCTCATTCCCTGGGGCACAGCTCTGTTCACAGCTGCCAGAATTAATGTGAACCTCCAGAGCTGTGAGGGAATACGTTCCTATTGTTTTAAGCCACTTGATTTGCTGGAATCTGTTACTGCAGCCTTAGAAAACCCACACAGTCACTTTAATTAGATACGTGGACTCTTACTGCTGAGCATCTTTCTCACTGGACACTGCCCAAACTTCCTCTGCTGGGGACAGTACTCATTTCTTCTCGTCTTTGTCTACTGTCCTAATTATCTCTTCTCACTCTACTTTCTGACAAGTCTTCTTTTAAAGTATTGCTTTTCCACAGGATTCAGTCCCCCAACTTGCTTCTCTTCCCATCCTGTCCCCATCTCCTACCATTCTTAGTCTCTTGTTGATTAGGTCAATCCTTGCTTATCCTTCAACACCTACGTCAAAGGTTATTCTTCCTGACCACCAGCCTCTTCCCGGTAAGAGCTGACTTTATACAAAATTGTTTCAACAGCTATCATTCTGCAGCGAAATTTATTTTCACACACACACACACACACACACACGCACACGCACACACACACAACTTCCCATTCAGACTCTGAAAGCAAAAGCACTACCTTAATTTTCTTTCTCTCTGCAAGGCCCGCGGTCAAAATATTTAACACATGCTTGTAATACTGAATGAGTTAGATGAATGGAACATCACACTAATATTATCTAAGAAGAAAAGTACTATTATCCTTTCTAGATTCAAAAGCTGTTACTACCAAAACATGGGTTTTAAACTATTTTTGAAAGAGTAGTTCTTTTTAATAGTAGTAGATCTACTTGATCAAATAAGATACTCTTATCAAAGTGTCAACTTGGACTGGCTTTGGGATTTTTTCCCAGGAACTTTTGGGGCGCATTTTTGAATTTGCTGAAGTAGATTGTATAGGTGTGGCCTTAGAGGTTTGTAAGTGGTCCCTTGTCCTTTTCTCTCTGGCACTATTACTCTGCTCTGCTTCTCAGCTGCCATGAACTAACAGCTTTACTCTGTCACACTCTTCTGCAATACTATTTCTGTCTTGGAGTCAGCCAACCACGGACTAAATCCCCCCAAACCATGAGCCAAATTAAACCTCTCCTCCTTTAAACTGTTGGGTGATGGGTATTGTATTAAGCAACAGGAAAACAAACTCATAGAAAACTGGTATCTAGAGTAAGGTAATTGTTGTGACTATACCTGACCTGAATGTACATAACTAATATGTTCACAATAGGTCTGTAATTCCTATGTCTAATTGCCAGGCTACTCTGAAACACCAGTAGTACATGCATACCTGTCCCATTGGGGCAACATGGGATAATCCCATTGTGTGATATAAGCTTGCCTGATGGGACAGTCATGCATGTACCACATACATACATACATGTTCAAACTGTTGGAAACATGTAAAGGTTTGGAGATGAGCAGTATAGAAGCCTTAGAATGCAATAAGCAGGGCTTGATGCACGATTACACTTGGAGCCCAGAAGAGCAGAATGCTGGTAGAAATGTAGACAGTAAAAGCTAGGCTCAGGAGGTTTCAGATGGGAACCACGACTCCACTGGCATTTGGACTAGAGGTCATGTGTGTCGCACTCTGGCAAAAAATTTGTCTACATACATTTTGCTCATAACCTGAGACTTTGTAGGAGACCGAGAATAAGAGTGGTAGACTAATCTGGTGGAGGAAATTACAACACAGCTCAAAATTCAGGCTGTGGCATATGTACTGATGGCTGTTTTTAGCCAGATTTATAGTAAAAAGTGGAAGCAAAAGGGAGAGCAAAAAAATTTGAAAAACTTAGATTTTGGCCTAGAAGAAGCCATGTAAAAAGCTGGGGCCAAAAGAGGTAGGACTGCTAAAGAGATTAGTGTTATTAAAAGGAAACCAAATACAGCATTAGCTTGGTTCATGTATGCCTCTGTTTGCAAACAACTTGGCTCACAAACGAAACCATTCGCCAAAATTTCACTTCCATTCGTCAACTCTACATTTCGGCACTGGGTGACAAACACGACCACAGCCATCTCCCCCACACAAACACAAATGCAACCATCTTCCCCAAAATCAGAAACAAATTAAAGTTTGCAAATTGAGGTACCACTATATTTTGTACAAGAGCAAACATGCTTTGAGGGCATCTAAAGAATCAGCAAGACTACAACCCCTGCAGACTCAAGGATGCAAAAATATTACCTTTCACTGAGGAGACAGTCCCTGGCTCCCCTACTTGAGAAGAGCCTCCTACGGTATTAAGTACTGGTTCCCCCAGGATTCATTTCACTGTGCTGAGCCACTCAAAACACTCAGAAGCCACTGCAGCCATGCCCACAGGAGCCTGGCTACTGCTTCTGCTGACACAGACCTAGGTGTTGTCCACATAACGCTAGCTTTACTGGCATGAATAATATGAGTTGTAGGGTCAGAGAGGCTTCCTGGCAAGAAGCCCCTGAATGGACAGAACATGAAACTGTGGGGATGAAACCAAAGGTGTATGGAGACCCCAGAAAGTTGGAGACACCAGGAAAGTCTGCTGAGAAAAGCTGCAGGCCATGAATGGAGCCAACCAAAGAGAGAGGCCACGGGGATACAAGTAATGAGGCCACCTGAACCCTTTGGAACTCACATTTTACCCTCAAATGCCCTGGATCTGGATAACAGACATGGAGTTGTAAGACAATGTTTGCCCTGCTGGATTTCAGTTTTGTTTCAGTTTCTTTTCTAACCTAATTTTCCTCCTTTTCAGAATGGGAAGGATTACCCTCTACAACTATACCTTGGGATTATGCAGTTTTTTTGAGTTTTACAAAGGTTTTTCAGTTTTACAAAGGTAGGTAAATCAGAGTTTGCCTTGAGTTTCAAAATAGACTTGGACTTGGACTTTTAAAAAATACTGGAACCATTGAGACTTTGGAGAAAGGACTGTAGCATTTCTAGTTTTATTAATGTTAGGCAAAATTATAAAATTATAGCTATTATCTTTATTTGGAGATTAAATATGATTTAAAGAGATGCGTTTGAGTTACAAGGTGACAAGGAGTGGGATGTGGTGCTTAGGGTGTGTGTCCATTTGAACTGGCTTTAAGACTGCCTTGGAGATTGGTGGGGCTCAGTTCTGAGTATATCTGAGTGGGCTGCATGGATGTGGTTTTGGGGGTCTATGTCTGGTCCTTTGCCCCTTCCTCTCTGACACTGTTTCTATTCTTTGCTTCCATGAACTAAGCAGCTTTGTTCCACCATACCTTTGGGCTATACCATTTTCTGCCTAGAGCCAGATGACTACGGATTGAATCCTCCAAAACCATGAGCCAAATTAAACCTTTCTTACTTTAAGTTGTGGGTGTTAAATACTGTGTCCAGCAACAGAGAAGCTATTTATTATAAACAATGTACAAGCTATGTTACAAATAAGTTTTAGATTTTTAATCACATTCTGTAATCTTTACAGTTTCATTAAGAAATTGAGTTCTACATATTTATATAAAATTTTTTATCACTTTTCAAGTTGGAAATAAGGAATTGTTCATGCAGACAATCCACTCGTGCTATGTCACTGTGCACATATTGTAATGAGGTCTATGATGACAATACATGGGGTGATAGTGGCAGACATGGGACCTGTCACGCAGACTGCTCTGCAGCAGCAAGAAGGGAGTATATGGCACTTACCTTTCAAAGCCATGGCCTTCATCTCTGAAGGCTCACTCTCATTGCGCTGCAACTTCCGCTTAGAGACAGATGATGACTTCCCCAAGTTGAAAAAGGAACGCCAGCTGCCCACAGGGGACTTTTTCATCTTATTTTGAGGCCTCTTTCTATGAGAGAAAAAATAGACAATATTAAGACAGCCAAGAGTCTATCTTTTCTTATAGAAAAAAATGAATAAATGGTAGAACCAAACAGCTAGTGAGGCCCAGGTGAAATAGTGAACAAACCACCACCTTCCTTATAGCACATTCTATATAGTTTGGCCAGAGCATGAAATGGAAATGCAATATGCAAATTTTAACACTGATAACTAGTTTCACAAAGATCATTTTATACATGTTATATTTAGATTCTACCTCACAATCTGCAAAATAAGTAGAGTAAGACATAACTGGGAATAGGAACTTAGTATTAATTAAACTTCCAAAAATAAAACAGAATTAAAGAAACTGATTTTAGATGTGAGTAAACTGATAAGGAAAATAAAGAAGTATTAATAATAACTAACACATATCAAATGTCACATCTGTGCTAAGTACCTTACCTTATATGTAGTGTCTCTTTTAAGGCAGAAATAACCATATGTGGCCAGTACTATTATTCTCATTTTATGGCTGAAGGAATAAGTTCAGAAAATTTCCTTGAAGTTATAGAACTAGTAAGTGATGGAGTCAGGTTTGAAACCCAAGTCTACATACATCCTTTCATCTACTCTTTAAATCACTATTCTATAAAAAAGCTTTTGAATAAATTATGGAGTTACAATATAAAGCCAAAATGCTCAGAATATGTTCTAACTTTTTATTTGTTTTAGCTATGGGAGGTGAAAGGAGATTAGAGGATTATACTAAAATATGGGAAAAAAACATTCTAAAGTTTCGTTAATAAAATTGAATCCAGAGATGATCCTTACATTCATGTGCAATACTCAAAGTAGCAGCAGAGACATTAAAAAATAACTTTTACATACATTAGTCTTCTTATGGTGAACTAGTAAAGAAGACACAGAAATGACATTCTTGTCATTTCTTTAGGGAAATAGAGACGTCAGAGCTGACAGGGACCTTGAGAGGTCACACTATCATTTCTGCACCCCTGAAAAGCTTGATGAAAGATTGGCTGCTGGGCCCATCACAAAGGTTCTGATTTAGGAGGTGTGGGGTGGGCTGAAGGATCTGCCTACTAACAACTACCAGGTAATGTGATGCTGCAGATCAGGAATAAAGAAAAAAGAACTAATGTCAAGTAAGTCAGTGTCCATTCATTACTTTCTGAATATGGCTATTTCAATACTGCTTATTTCTAAGAAAATTTCTAAATAACATATCTCAGAAAAGCTATCTCATATCATGAAAGTGTATCATTTTTCTCCGTACAATGATGGGCTTTCCTATTTTATTTTTACAAAACTAGGTGACATTGTAATGCTTTGCAAATATCATTTTTATTATTCCCTATGAAGTGTTAAACATCATCTTTATTCAAGTAAGTTTTTCTTGTATTGGTTCAGAATTTAATATATAAATACTAAAATATAAATTTAAAAGCAAAGTAGGGATGGGGAGAGCTCAGGTCACAGAGCATTTGCCTAGCACACATGAGGCCCTGGGTCTACTTCCCAGCAAGGGGGTAAGAACAGAAACTAAAAGAAACTAAAATAAAATAAAACTAAAAGAAAACAACACATGGTTATAGAAGTCCTATTTTTACTCAGGATTTAATGAATTTTACCTTTCCAGTGGGAACTCAATTATGGTATGAAATTTCCCCTGAAGTGCAGCAGGTCCTTCTCCTACTTCAATATATTTATTTTCAGTCACAATTGGAGAATTGACCTGAGCTTGTGTTCTTGCCTGGGCTTCCTCCAAAGTCAGAAGCTTGGTGGATGGAGAAGATACCAGCAGAGACTTGGGCCTAGATAAAGATGCTTCAAAAAGAAAGGGACAGAAACAAACAGAGTCAATGATGAATGGGTGGTGTAGCATTCTTTTTGTGTGTCTATCTATCAATCTATCAGTGTTGTTTCGAATTGCCTCAGGTTTTTTTAAGTGGCAAAAATCACAGTATGTACACCATGTAATAAAAAGTTACATCATAATTTAAAATAAGTACTTTCTGAATAAGCTGTTCCAACCAGTTTATTTCTAAACAAATTTCTAAATAACATGTCTCAGTGAGAAAATGAAAGTACGAAAGTATGTAATTTTTCCCTGTGTAATTATGTGTGAGTTTAATTCATTCATAACTATTTTCCTATCTTAAAACATACTAGGAAAGATGATAATTCGGATATTTTTAGTTTTCAAAGGAACTTTCTTCTCTTCCACATTATACTTTTATATACATCAAGACTTTTTGTGATTTTTTTTCAATTTGTCATGAACTCTGGTAATAAATTTTTTATGTAGGATCCACTATGTAAACACAAAATAAATGTCAATTTGAAAGACAAGACATAAATTGTCTATCTTCTACCGATGACATTTTTTTAAAAAATTGAGATGAGAAATGCGAAGTTTTCCATTCCTTTACAAGTACAGAGACATGTTGGTGGTAGCAAATAAAATCTGCCTGAGTCGTACCTGCCCCTTCCTGCATGACTGCACTGATTTTGCCACTGAAGAGCACATCTACATGATTGAGGATGAACTCCACAACCACAGACTGAATTCTCACTTCCATGAAAGCTGCTGTTCCACTGAAGCAGGCGGATTCTATCTGTTTTGATCTGTGAGGTAAACAACATTTAAACAGTTTCAAAGGGCATTTAAAAAGAAGTGTAAATCACATGCAAATAAGCAAGAAATCATACTTTTACAGTCTCTTAAGTTAAGCCCCACTTGCCTATTTTAGGGAGACGCTAATTAAGAGAACAACTAAGGAACAGTAATTAAATAATTTTAGATCTAACAACAGAACTAAAATAATTAATTCCAGTGAAGGTCATATGTGAAATGCAAACTACCTGAGCAGGTTTGGAGCCCAGATGATTGCTAAGTTTTTTGCATGCATATTTGTGATGGAGCAATAGTCTGCTAGAAGAGACAAGTGCCTCATCAGGAACTCCAGTGTTCTGGAAAATAAAACACAACATATTAGCAGAAAAATACATTCTGCAGCAGTATAGAACATAAAGGCCAGTAACTGACTTGTAAGTTTTCAACGGTAAAACAGAAAAAAGAGACCATACTAACCTATACATATTTTTTGCTGCTTAAGTTAAAATATCAGAAGTGAGTCCTCCATAAAAACTTGTTTCTAGACCAAACAGTATTTGGAATTTATGCTATTCTACTTGCAGCAGACAACTAAGAAGAAAGAATTTAATACTTCTATAAAAGAAAAAACAATATTTCACAAGCCTAAAAAAATGGTTAAAAGGGAAATTTCACTATGCATTTGAGCAACCAATGTACTTTTGGAATAAAGAGCCTATTTCAAATTGTAGTAAATTTACCTTGTCCATTTAAAATAAGTTTATAGAAACAATTCTACATATATTAAGATTAAATAACTGAGCAGTGTTTTTGAATATAAAACACCATCATCTTATATGTAAGTTAAACCAGTCACAAGTACACGCACATAATCTATCCACTGCATGTCTCAACATCCTACCTAAATGTTCAGGGCCTAAAATTGTTAAAGACAATAAATAAGAGGCAAATAAAATAGTAATCAATGTTAAACTGTGGTCTTCGTATGAGTCACAATGATTCAGATGGACCTAATATGAACTTGAGAGGAAAACGAAGACAGCAGCCAGGCTAAGCACTGTACTTTTTTTTTTTTTTTTGGTACTGGGGATCAAACTCCGGTCCTTGCGCTTGCTCAGCAGGTGGCGAAACCACTGAGCTAAATCCCCGGCCCTAAGCACTGTACTTTTAAGGGGAGCCTCATTTAATTCCCACAGTAGATGAACTACACACAGTATTATCAGCCTTGACAGGAAAGAAAAGTCAAGGCTTGCCAGTGGTTCCAGAGACAAGCAGTGGTAGGCAGGCTGGGACTTAAATCAAGCCTTTGGAGGCTCAGAATGCCTCCAAAGAGCCTACTCCTACAGTGGCATCTACTGTGGCTGGTGAAAATGGTATTGTCTGCCCTTCTTGTACACAGTTAAATAAGGAAAAACAGACAGCCAGGCACACATGAGGCTGGCCTGGGTACTATGTGGGAGGTGGGAAGCCTGAGAAACCTGTTCAGAAGACAGTAAAATTTTATTATAGATAGGAGGGATGTTAAAGAACTTCAGAAATGTATTTTACAAGAAATGCAAACTAAAACAACCAAAGGTATCTATTTTGCTTGCCTAATTATAAAAATTTCTTGAAGTCGGCATAGAATTTAGTCAGGCTTCCATGAAGTGAGCACTTCATATTCGGCAGGTGAGCATGCAATTGCATAACCCTTCTGGGAGCACACTCTGGGTAATCTTCTACACTGAGAATAAAAATGTCAGTATCTTTTGATTTCCAGAATTCAACTCCCAGGTCTTTATCCTAAAGAAAGTCTAGATTCTGTGTAGAAGGACAATCAGCATATACGTAGATTAAAAATGCAAATTAGGGGAACATGAGAGAACACCATTAAAAATTACATTTGCAAGAAGATTTAAGGAATTAAAAAAAGTAAATGTTAAAATCTTAGATAAACAGTGTATAAAATATATAAACATATGCAATATACTACTGAACATCTACTAAGTACAAGGCTGTATTCTGAAAATATAGCAATAAGACAGAATAATGTCAAGGAGCTTACATTTTAAAGAGGCTGCATATTGAATGGGTAATACAGTGTAAATAAAAATGTACAGTCATATATATGTTCAATATATATAAATATATAGAGGAAAGATACATAATATTCAGTAGGAAAGACTACACAGAAAGGGAGCTCGCTCTACACATAATTAATGAAGGAAATAATTCTTATGTGAGAAAAATATATATATATAATTTCCAGGAAACTTCAGTTGAATGTTTTGCTAAGTCAATATAAAAGTGAATTGCCCCCAAAAAGGGGTAGATGGCCCTAATGGTGCATGCCTGTAATCCCAGCCTTCTGGGAGACTGAGACATGAGGACCCTAAATTCAAGCCTGGGCTGGGCAATTCAGGGAGATCCTGCTTCAAAATTTTTAAAATGTCTGGGGATGCAGTTCAGTGAGAAAGCCATGGGTTCAGTCCCCAGCACTACAAAAGAGAGGGAGAGGGAAAAGGAGAGGGGTGCAAAGAACAATGTGAAGTAAAACAAAATGTATAAATACTAATAATGTTCTCCCAGTGAAGAGACTCTATCTGCAGGATGGACAAGAATTAGATGTTATAAAGTGGGAAAAGGAAAGGGAAGGAAGCGTCTGCTCTTGGAAATCATTAAAAAAAAATCAATAGAGGGTCAGGAAAAAAATCCATGGGGTAGAAAATGACAAAGAGAACATGAGAAAATAAAAGAGTTCAATAGTTAAAATAATAATAGGAAGAGAGTAAAGAGTGGGGTTTAAATTCCAATGAGACCATCAAAGAAACAGCACAAGATACATTTCCAGAAATGAACACCATGAGTTTCCAGATGAAAAAAGCCCATCAAGTGCCCAAAGTGAAGAATAAAAAGAACCTGCACCAAGGTATGAGACTATGAAAACGGATCACAAGGTATGTTTTAAATTTAAAAGCACCAGAATGATAAGGACAAAACAAAACAAAATATACCCAAAGATGTCACAGAAAGACTGGTATCAGATTGTGGTACGCCATTTCTTGGTAGAAAACAATGGTGTAATACTATTACAATTATAAGGAAAATTATTTGCATACTAAATTATATAATTACCAGTCAAATGCATGAATAGAATAGGAATATTCTTAGATATCAAAGTCTCAAAAAATTTAGCTCCCATATCTTTCTCAGCAAGAATATTAATGGTGTGTGTTACAAAAGCAGGGAATAAAAACAGGGAAGATGACAAGAGATCCAGAAAAGGAGATTCTAACTCACAGAGGAGTTGACAGGAATTTCCAAGGTGTGAGTACAGGGGTGGCACTGACTTCTTCATTGTAGATCAAGCGAGGGGAGGCAAAAGACCTTTTAAAAGATACTTTTCAGGAAGAAAAAATGAAAATGTTGCCTGGTATGTCAGAACACAGTGCAAGAACAGTGAATAGGCTTGTTAAAGAACCTGGAGGATAAAATGAAAACAAACAGAAACTCAGTGACAAACAAAAGCCAAGTACTCCACAGAAAACACAAAAAGTTATCCCGGGGGCCGGGGATGTAGCTCAGCGGTACAACGCCTCCCTGGCAAGCATGAGGCCCTGTGTTTGATTCCTGGTACCAAGAAAAAAAAAAGAAAAAGAAAAAAAGTTGTCCCTGAAAGAATATATTCCTTTAGGTAGAACTGTGAATAACAGTTACTACAATGTAGACCCTAAATACTTACCTAACTCTAAATGATCATGTAACTGGACTAGGAAGAGGAAAGAAGAGGAAGTATGTGTTTGTGGGCTCTGGGGAAGAGTATGAGAGATCCTCATTTGCCACAAGAAGAAAGCAACAGCACCAAAAAAAAAAAAGAAAAATTGAGAAACAGCAATGCCAAGGTGCTATTAGAAATGGGTGGGGTATCAATCCCTAATAAAAGAGTTAAGTGTACTGACTTCTGACAGAAATGGGAAATGGAGTGACTCAATATTTATTATGCATGCCACTTGACTTTATAAACTGTGTTTATTTGTTACATGGATCATTTTTTAATGTAGAAAAAAGGGACATATTTATATGATACTTCATGTAAAAATCACCAAGCCAAGGCTGCAGGTGTAGCTTGGTGGTAGAGTTTACCTAGCATGCTCAAAGTCCTGGCTTTGATACCTACCAAAATGAATGAATGAATGAAATTACCAAGGTCATTGTTAAATCCTCTGTCTTGCTATGTTTTATTCAAAAAGTGAGGACTAGGCTCATCCCCTCATTTTATCATTAAAAAATCCTCTTCAGAAAGTATTATCAGTATTCTGTTCTCAGATATAGAGACTGAAGCTTAGAGACTGCAGTACTCTGTGACAGACTTGGAAATTCAAAGCCAGTTGTATCTGTCAAAGTTCTATCTGTCTTTAGATTGTACTAGGTTTCTTTCACTGATGAGTTAATAATGTCCTCTTCTCCTCAAAGATATACCTTGAGTAACTGTTACTGATCATATTTATCTTGACAGCCTTCTTTTTCAGGGCTATATTCCTTAATTTCTTTGACCTTATGCCCCAAAACCTTTTTAATTTTCCTTTGAGTTTTTCTTTTTCACTCTTTGCTGGATCCTTAGACTCCTTTAAATTCATCAAGTTCCTCCTAAGAGCAGCTACATTAATGGGACAGTGACCTGATGTTACCTTTTAGTTCAAGACCATCATGCATTTATATCTAGAGTGCTGATTAAAAAGGTGCTTATTTTAGTGTTGATTAAAAATATTAGTTGATTTAGTGTTGAATATAGTGCTGATTTAAAAATATATATAAGCAATGTCATTTTCAAAACATCAGCATTACATTACGGTTGAATTTAATTTCTTGTTAATAATTTTAAAAATGTCTCTTGGCTTTTTGTATATTATAATCCATGCTTTCTAATGTTTTCTTTCTCTCACTAAATAGCAAAGTCACCCTCTTGTATTCTGGTCTTTTCAAACATAAACAAAAATATTTCTGAGAGTCCAAACTAGCATACAAATCATGTATTTTAAAAAGTAGCAACAAGGGGAGGAAGGTCGGGGCAGAGTGCTTGCTTAACATGCATGAGGCCTGGGCTCAATCCCCTATACCACCAAAACACAAAACAAAAGCAGTAACAACAAAACCAATAAACAACAAATCCTAAAACACAACAAAACCCCAGGTTTAGTCAGCCATTCATTTGTTCATTCATTCATACATTCACTCAACATTTACCTACTGGACATTAAGCATTGTGCCAGGGCCTGGGGATATAAAGACAAACAAATACAAATATATGTATGAATAAAATTCAGTCTGGAAAAGATGGAACTTTAATTAGCTAGAACTTCAAAGAAGTTTAAGTAGCTAGAAACCCAAAGGAAAAACACCTTTACATGGGGGCCCACTTCTGCCTCTGGCTGGTGTTCACCAACGTGTGATTTACCTGTAGTGCGGTGGGGGGAGCTGCTGGATGACATCATGAATTTTTATCAGCCTTTCTTCATCTGTTGCTGCTGAAACAGCATCCTGTAACAATCATAACATAAAATAAATCAGCACACTTTGGGTAAAAATGAATTTCTCACTTAAAATTCAGTTTTCACTCAAGATTGATCCATTTTTTTCTCTAATGCTAAATGAAGAGAAAATACAACACAGCATATCCATGATGTGCACTTTGTTCCCACAAGATGTGAACACTGAATCTCCTCAATGTTCATTGTAACAAACTTGATTATAAGCCTAACACAGCAAAGCAACACAGGAGATCTTGAGCTGAAAGTAAATGGTACTCACAGAGAACTTCTCATACAGCTGGTAGGTGAGCAGAGGGTTGGGGAGCTCTCGGAAGTACAGCTTGCAGAGGGAGCCCACAGAATGGATGTCTTGTACATATGGTTCTTTTGTCAGGTCGGGGACATGCTCAGAGTCAAATTCATGCCTATTCCAGACAGAAGAGGACAACACAAAATTATTTTACTGAAGGAAGGCAAACACATGACTGGAACGCAATATCCAAAAGTGATGACCTTGGCCTCAGTGAGTTATTCTTTTCTTCAAATTATATTTCATGTAAATTTTATCTGGAGTTCAGCAGTAATTGATATATTATCACCAGCCAGGTAACTACAGGGAATATTAAAAGGGAAACAACTTCTAGCCCAGAGGACTAACTTTATCTCGGTTAGCTGTGACTTTCTTCAAACTATATTTCATATCAATCATATTTGGATTTCGGTGGCAACTGGAGTCTTATCATGAGGCAAGCATCTTTCTACATGAAAATTAAGGACACAGATTTAAATGGACAATAAACCATGAAATGTGTGTGAATAAGCAGCTCTTACAGCATATCAGCCTGAAAACAGTATACCTAATTTCTAAGGGTTTAAATATCTAATACTCTGGCAACTGCAGGAACCAGGGGTGAGCAGCAATTATACACAGAAATTCCTCAGATACAACTTGTACAGTTCAGCAATGTTATACTGAAGCAGAATAAGAATGCCTGAAACAATATAAAGCAATTTCTAGCTAAGGCTGAATTTTAATAGAAAGATCTGTAGCATTAGAATATATGAAACACAAGTCCCTAGAATGCTAAAGCAGATTAGGCTCACTCTCTAGGAGGTTAATTAATATTAATCTGCAGTCACGAGGTCACTTATCATCTTCCTAGAAGATTAATGTGTGGATGATCTGAACATTTGCTTTAGTGAATTTGAAACTGTCTTTAGTACAGGAACCAGTTTAAGCTATGGGCTATACCTTATTGTTAGAGCACTTTCCTATCATGCTCAAGATCCTGGGTTAAAAAAACTGAGTATTTTCTAAACATGTATTTCTGAAAAGGAAGCTGAGCTTTGTGGTCAATTAAAATATTAAAATTCTTGTAGAACAAAGGCAGTTACAGTGAAAAAAGAAGTGAGAATAGCATATTGGAATAGAATCCAAGATTAAGCAAAAATATTGCTTAATTTTATTGCTGGTAAAGAGAATACCACCTTTTTATTTGTCGCAGAGAAGCCATATAAGTGGAAGTGTAATAGATAACACACATACTTAGGTATACAATACAGAATTAGAGTCAAAGGAGGCTTTAGAAAAGGTTTCACACCTATTGATTTTTGTTAATAACCAAAGGGTAATTCTATTACAATGTAAATTTCATTTCTCTTGCTTGTCAAAAGTTCAGACTCAATTTTCCACAATCTTCAAACATTTTAAAGAGATAGAAGTATTTAAGAGGTTAAGGTGCATGGTTCTCTATTACTGTGTAAGTACAAATGTCATTTAGAAAATATACAGAAGAAACAATATGAATATTATCTCCTATTTCATCTCAACTATCTCACTGAAATTTATGGTCATCAAAGTAAGTTACTCAATTTTGAAATAATTTCATTTTAATGAGTTACATAGGAATAAAACAGAAAACGCCACAGATTTTTACCTACCGTAGTCTCTGGATATTGGAGGCAACTCCAGAGAGACGATATATTCCATCCACAATCCCATACCTCTCAATGAATGTTGTGCAGCTCTGAAGAACCTGGGGCACTAAAGAGAAATTTTAAGGATGTCAATTCAGTTGGTAACATTCAGTAGAATCACCGTTAGATAAAATGTGTAAATTAAAAAGGGATGAGTATCCGCTCACTAAAAATACTGATGTAGGCATGTTTACTTAATTTCACATTGAAACTACATAATTAGCACCTGAATAATCGGATTGGTTCGATTCTCACTTCATTAGGATAGACTTACATCTTGCAGTCTTCTGTCGTGAAGGCACTGACATCATTTTACCCAGTAAGCCCTAACACCATGACTGGTTAAAATATAGCTCAGTTTCACACACAGCAAATGATTCTGTAAAGTTAAATGTTTACCCCAACAATAGTTACTGGTAAGTGCTGCAATGTTTTACTTCTAAAAGACTTTTTCTCTCTCACAGTTAATGCTAATTCTAACTTATTTATTAAAACACCAACATAATGCAAAGGTCAAAGCAATTTCAAATTGATGAATCTTTTAATTTTCTGCTCATCTTCACACTAAATTTACTGACATTTTAACTTGATTTTATCTCTTCATTATAATGGAGACAACCTAAGAATAAATGGGAAATAAAAAAGTACTTTCAGTTAGCTCAGTGAACATATACAAAGAGCAATTATTCTGGGGCCTAGAACAGAATTTTCAAAGTATCTGATAGAAATTGTTATAAACATTCAAAATTTTATAATAGCTGAGATAAGAACATTCTTTATTTTGTAATCCGTATTGGTCAGTTTACTACGGTCATTCGACTGTTAGTTAAAATCCCTGAAAAAAAAGGATTGGAAGGACATTTGCTCTATGAAGAGCTACTGTGCTAGGTGTGAAACATTCAGAGGGCCAAATGAAAGACTGAAGATATTTTTGTAAGACAATTTTAACGAATTTCACTTACAGTACATTACTATGCCAGAACTTTATTATTGTTGCAAGTCTTTTCCTTGGTTCTCCTTCCTATTACTCCTACAGTCTTCTATAGTCTGTTAGATTCTATAACATATTTAAAATTGATCTCTTTATTTTTCATTTAAAAACAAAACACAGCAGCTGACAATATTGAACACTTCATATAAGCCAGGCTAGTTGCTTTAACCTGGACACCCTCCAATCCTCATAGAAATCCTATGACAAAGTTCTAGCATGATACTGATTTTAAAGAAACTGTATCTTAGAGATAAGTTTTGTCTAAGAAACAGGAGCCAAGGATGGAAATGAGATTCTAATGCAAGCACAGCACCAAGCTTTAAACTACTGTAGTATATTGCCTGGCACAGAAGATCCTTCACATTTACACTTATTATTATCCTGTTTTCCTATTTTACAACTAATTCTAGGCCAACTAAAATTCTACTTTTTGTCTCATAAACTAGCCATTTATACTCCTTCACAAAACAATATCCTCTATCCAGATTCTCCCCACTAATCCACAGCATATAGAAAATTCTATGTTGCTGTTCAAACCCAGCTAAACTATGACTCGTATTCCTTCTTTGAATATCTTCAAGTTAGGAGAGCTTCAGCACTGTGTTCTACTCACTACATGCTCACCAAACTGTATTATTTCAAAGTACCATTTATTTATTTATATACCATTATCCCTTATCCACTGTGAACTCTTCAAGGGAAAAAACCCAGCTCCCTTCTCCCTTCATCTCTGGACATTCAATACTCAGGAGCACTGTACTGACACAAGGAAAATTGTAACATAAATGTAATCAACAAGTGAATTAATTTACAGGTACCCAAGAGCATGAAAAAGTCATCTGATTAAGGTACTAGGGCAGGGACGTGCCATAAGTTTCACATGAAACTGTATTTATTTTCTACTGTATTCTTTCTGTGTCTGAAAACATTCTGGATTTGTAGTAATAAGAAAAGGATATGTCTATGTAGTAGAGATGAAGGTAGGCAGAACTGTTGGGTATTTTTGTGGACTGGCTTTGGTAAGAAGTAATCTCTCGGTCTAAATGAAATGTTAAGTATAAAGCATCTTTGTAAGAGCTCGGGCTCCATTTATATTATTACTCCATCAATAATAACCTTGTGCTTTAGGTTTCTACTCTAGAGTACTTATAGAGTAGGTTTCTAGTCTATAAACTAGAAATACAATAATAAACTTAGAGGTTAAAAAGTTTCTATCACTTATTTCAAAAGAAATATATTTAGAGATTACTGGGATCGTTAACATGGTTACCTAAAGTATGAAAGGAATACAAGGCTTTAATTTATTTTTTTGGTACCAGGAATCGAACTCAGGACCTTGCGCTTGCAAGGCAGGCAGCAGCACCACTCAGCTAAATCCCCGGCCCTTTAATTCTTTATTTTTAAGGTGCTTTTCATTATTTATACTCAAAATTAGCATGCTAACCTAACCCAAGCACACAAGAGATTGGCTTTGGAAGAAATCTCTTCAAGCACAGGATTTTATCTCCTTATCAGGTTCTCCTAAAATGCAATACAAAATTTTCATAAAAATAAGTTGCCGCCTATAGAAAATATTACTTTCACTAAATTCTTACATTCACTGGAGTCATATGTTTATATTCTCTCAGATGATTTTGAAAATACAGAAAAATTAAGGTTTATTTTCTTGAACATGACCAAACCTTGCATTTATAATAATTGATAAGAAACATCTGGATGGCTTCTTTTTGTTTTTACATTTACTAGCTGGTTTTATTTATTTATTTATTTTTATTAGTACATGTTTGCAGTACATACTGCTTATATTTCTGATGTTGAGGTGGGACATGCACATAACACATCTTAATTCTCTTTTTCATTCCCTTCCCGATCCCCTTCATATCTCGATCCTCTTCCCATTTGAGGAAAATCTATCCAGTAAGGATTAAATGTCTACAAACAAGTGCATAATGAGATTTAATAAATAAAACTGCATAATAACTGCTTATAATTTTTTTCCTTAAATTCTTTTATTAGTACATTTTAGGTATACAATACATTTACATTTATCATTGGGCACTTATGCCTTTACATGATATATCTTGGTTCTTATTTTTTCCCCATTTCCTGTCCTCCATTCACCCCCTCCACCCTTCCCTATTTACAAAGACTTTGTTTCCATTTTTTCCTTTTCTCATAATTTTTCCTTTCCCTTCTTTCCTTTCTCCTACCACTCCCACTTCCCCCCTTTGGACCATTTCTTCCTATTTCACATTATCAATTACTCATTTTAATCATTATTTACACTTTCAGTTTGTCACACCAGAGAAACTATTCAGCATTTACACATGTGTTGTATTTATTTCACTTAAGAGTCTGTCCTCAATATGCATCCATTTAGCTATAAATGTCTCTAGTTTCTTGTTCTTTATGGCTGAGTAGTACTCCATTTCATAAAAAAAAAAAATCACATCTTCTTTATCCAGTTTCCAGTTGATGGGCAATTGGGCTGTTTCCAAGCTTCAGCTATTACAAACTGTGCCGCTGTAAACATCGGTGCACATATATCACTGGTGGTATGATTCTTTTTAATTCTTTGAGGAAGATACCCAGCAGGGGAATAGCGGAGTCAAATGGGACCTCTAGTCCTAGTTTTTTGAGGTATCTCTATACTGATTTCCACAGTGGTTGCACCAGCTTGCACTCCCACGAACAATGGAGGAGTGTTCCTTTCTCACCACACCCCTGCCAGCATTTGTTTTTGGTTGACTTTTTGATGGCAGCCATTCTTTATGGAGTGAGGTGGAATCTCAGGGTTGTTTTCATCTGCATCTCTCAAATGACCAGTGATGTTGAACATTTTTTCATATGCTTATTTGCTGCTTTTACTTCATTGTCTTAGAAATGTCTGTTCATTTCAGATGTTCAATTTTGAATTGGGTCTTTGAATTTGGGGGTCTGATTTTTTTCAGTTCTTTATATATTCTAGACAGTAGTCCTTTGTCTGAGGTACTGCTCCTAAAATTTTTTTCCCACACTGTAGCTTGTCTCTTAGCTCTGTTGGTGGTTTCTCTTGCAGTGTAGAAGCTTTTTAATAAGATGAGATCCCAGTTGCTGATTCTTTCTGCTAGTTCCTGTGCTACTGAGATTCTGTTCATAATGTCTTTTCCTATGCCAATGTCTTCAAGAGTTCTACCTAATTTATCTTCCAGCAAGTTTAGTGTTTCTGTTTTAATATTTAGATCCTGAATCCACTTCAATCTTAGTTTAGTGCATGGTGATAGATATGGGTCTAGTTTTAATCTTTGGCAGGTTGAAATCCAGTTTTTCCAACACCATTTATTAAAGACCCTATCTTTCCTCCAATGAGGATGGTTGGCTCCTTTGTCAAAGATGAGGTGGCTGAGTATGTCTGGAGTTGTTTCTGGATCTTCTAATCTATTCCACCGATCCTGAGGTCTGTTTCTTTGCCAGTACCATGCTGTTTATCACAGTAGCTTTGTAGTATAGTTTCAAGTTGTGGATTGTGATACTCCCTGCCAAGTCTCTGTTACCTAGAATTGCTTTTGCTATTCTAGGTCTCTTCTGGTTTCAAATGAATTTCTGGATTGTTTTCTCTAGTTCTGTGAAATATATTGTTAGGATTTCAATTGGCATTGCATTAATTCTATATAGCAGTTTTGAAAGTATGGCCATTTTCACTATATTGGTTCTTCCTACCCAGGAGCAAGGGATGTCTTTCCATTTTCTTATATCCTCTTCGATCTCTTTTTTCAGAGTGCTGTAGTTTTCAATGCAGAGGTCTTTTGCTTCCTTTGTCACATTGATTGCTAGATTTTTTTTTTTTTTTTGTACCAGTGATCAAACTCGGGACCTTGCACTTGCTATATTTCATTTTTTGGATGCTATTGTGAAAGGAATTGTTTCCCTAATTTCTCTCTCAGTGAGTCTGTTATTTGTGTACAAGGAGGCTACTGTTTTGTGAGTGTTGACCTCGTACCCAGCTACTCTACTCCATCTGTCAATTAAGTCTAGAAGTCTTTTGGCAGAGTTTTTTGGGTCTTTTATGTAGAGTATCATATCGTCAGCAAATAATG